GTAAGAATACATACATATAAGCTAACCACAAATACATATGGCACACAAAACAACAAACAACATAAAAAATATGCATAAAACTGTTAAAATTCTCGATCCAACCACGGCCATTATCGGGTTCGAATTATAGGTCCAACCATGACAATCTTCATAGGAATTGCAATTCTGTCAAAATTCACGGTCACGTTCACGACCATGGTCCTAACCGTGAATTGTGACAGAATTGCAATTCTCATTGAGCCTCGGTCAGGATTGTCGTCTTTTCATAAATCACGGTCTACCTCAACCGTTAACGTGACCGTGAATTATTACAGAACTCGGTTTAATTCCATCGCAATTCACGGTCGCACCACGCCAGAGTTTGGGCAAAAAATTCACGAAATAGTTCTCGACCTCTCCCTACCTCGGACAATAATCCTTAATCAAATCAAATTTCAAGGGCCAAAAAGTGTACAAATTACATATACCCAACCAATCCTACATATACGCACAGAAAACGCCCAGACATACTGTAAAACAGAATCCCTAAATATGTAAACGAACAACTAACGATGCCCGCTAATGAAATTAACCAAAAACAGTTAGAATCCACTAAAAGCAACACAAAAAAAGGGAGAGTGAAAATACGAAGACCAAAATAGAAACGAAACCGAAAAAATTGTTCTTTTAACTCTAACTAACAGTGACGCAAATACGTAAATAGGAACAATATGAAAGCCTAACCTTAAAGAGAAAATGGGATGAGATTGAGAGCAAAAAACACCAAGAACTATGTAGGCAATGGAAAGGTATGCAATATGGAACAAATGGAAACGAGGGAAACCGAAAGCGCAAGAAATTGAAGTGTGGAAGATGAAAAGGATACCAACGGTTAGAATTTAAAATGGAGGGTATAACTGTAAATTCCATTTCACGGCCATGATTTAGAATTTCCCGACCGTGGTTGCCCCGGTCAACCACGCCCATGAACAATGCTTCAATAAAGGGCGTTGTTTGTTTGTGTTTCGTTGACACACTCCTCCGACATGTTTTTTACACGCAATATCGAGGCTAAAATCGTCATTTCAACCTCCATTATTTAATTGAATAAAGTAAATTGGGTCAAAAAAGTTAAAAATTAGATTTTAGGTCGTTTGAGCAAATTGAAAACTATTTTAGGTCAAACCTGTCAATTTCCCATGAGATTTTCTTAATCCAAACTATTGTTGATCTATAATGAATTGGTGTATGGACACCTTTTGGAAGAAAAAGAAAAACACCTTCTTTGATGGTGGCTAGTAGTAGGGATGACACCGGTGGACGGGGTGAGTCGGGGGCATCCCCATCCCCGCTCCCGTCTTTGAAATTTTGGAGGTAGAGATGGGTGGGGACGGGTTCCCCAATAAATATTCTAATTCTTTAAAAATATAAATTTTTTTCTTTTATCGAATTGGGTCGCTGGAAATAGAGGAGAGAATATGAGCGGGTGTGATGAATTTGAGAAATTGAGAGAAATAGATTGAGGGAGAAAGTGAAAACTAAAATGTCCCTAGGGTTTCTATCAAAGAATAAGAAATTAAGGTTAGTATAGCGAGAAAAAAAATTGGACTTAATAGCTTAAACGAGTTTGGTTTTTTTTTTTTAATTAGAAAAGTATTTTATAAAAAGTAATATATATAATAATATTAAAAATATTGAAATACTAAAAGGAGAGATGGAGACATGCCTTAAAGCATGCATGCCTTTTTCTAGGCCCACACACTTGGGCTATCCACAAGCCCACGAGACTCCTCTAGGGGGCTCAAACACCTCGCTATAGACCAGTTCGACTGAGTCGGTCGTCCCCCATCAAACTAATAATTAATATAATACAAGTTAAAGTTCACCTGTAACACTATATATTCAAGAGACGGCCATCTGACATGGTGGTGCAACGTCAATTTTTTTAAAAACGGAAGTGTGGTCGTCAAGAGACGATCATCTCTTCAAGAGACGACTACCCGACCCGTCGGTTGATTTTTGGAAAAAGAAAATTGGTTTTCTTATATAAGAACTACTGAATATTATATAATATAAAACAACATTTTTTTTTCCAAACCATCCAAATAGTCGTCCACATTTTCGTTTTAAAAAAAATTGACGTGGCGCCACGTCAGATGGTCGTCTCTTAGGCGGGAAAACATGGTCGACCAAACCCCCGTTTTTTTACAACAACAATATTTTTGGAATAAGTTTCCAAAGTTGCAATTTTTTCCATTTTTCTAATAAATCTGCATTATTTTAAAAATAAGTTTAATTAAAAACAATATTAAAAAAAAATCCCAATATCCATGACCGTTTTTTTCCCCCTAATTTAGGATACGATATTTACAATCCCATGATTATCTAAGGATACGATACGACGACGTTTTAGAGAACTAACTGATACCATGTATTGTCAATCTTTCTCCACCACTTTCCCGGCGGCTGTGATTATTTTGGTGAGGAGCCGCCGCTGCCATAGAAAGTTTGCCGATAAATCCATTAATCTAACTCCAATTCTCTCCTCTGCGCCCAATTATCCGATAACATGCTACTTCTCTCACCGCCGCCACTCTCCGGTCGCTTCCCTGCAACTCAATTCCCTTGTCCGACCATCTTCCTCCACCACCACCACCACCATTTACCCCATCTCTCTCTTCCCTTCATTTCCGCCGCCGCCGCCGCCACCTTGACCTCCTCCCCCTCCGCCGTTACCTGTTACACTTCCTCCGACGCACTTGACCTCGACCACGCCTCGCTTCAGAGTCGCCGCTACGACTTCGCTCCCCTCCTCCACTTCCTTTCCCGTTCTTCCACGTCTGCCACCGCCGGAGCCGTGTCCGATTCCGATTCCGAGGTGGAATTCGACGAGGTAGCTTCTCCAACTTCGCTCGACCCTACGGAGTTCCAGCTTGCGGAGGCGTATAGGGCTGTGCCGGCGCCTCTCTGGCACTCGCTCCTCAAATCTCTCTGCTCTTCTCCCTCTTCGATTGGGCTGGGTTATGCGGTTGTTTCGTGGCTTCAGAAGCATAATTTGTGTTTCTCTTATGAATTGCTTTACTCGATTCTTATTCATGCGCTTGGCCGCTCTGAGAAGCTCTATGAGGCTTTCATTCTCTCCCAGAGACAAACCCTAACCCCCTTAACGTATAATGCTCTGATTGGTGCTTGTGCTCGCAATAATGATTTGGAGAAGGCCCTCAATTTGATGTCTAGGATGCGGCAAGATGGTTACCAATCTGATTTTGTCAACTATAGTTTGATAATTCAGTCGCTTACTCGAACGAATAAGATTGATGTTCCAATCTTGCAGAAGCTCTATGGAGAGATTGAGTCTGATAAAATTGAACTCGATGGGCAGCTCCTTAATGATATCATTTTGGGGTTTGCAAAAGCTGGAGATCCTGACGAAGCTCTGTATTTCTTGTCCATGGTTCAGGCCAGTGGTTTGAACCCCAAAACTTCTACTTTTGTTGCGATAATTTCCGCATTGGGGAATTATGGGCGGACAGAGGAAGCTGAGGCTATCTTTGAGGAAATGAAAGAAGGCGGATTGAGACCGAGGATCAAGGCTTTCAATGCTCTTCTTAAAGGTTATGTTAAAAGGGGTTCTCTGAAAGAAGCAGAATCTATTGTTTCAGAGATGGAAAAGAGTGGATTATCACCGGATGAGCACACATATGGTCTTCTCATTGATGCTTATGCAAATGTGGGCAGATGGGAAAGTGCAAGAAATTTGTTGAAAGAAATGGAAGCTAGAGATGTAAAACCTAACTCCTTCATTTTCAGTAGGGTTTTAGCTAGTTATCGCGACCGGGGAGAATGGCAGAGAACATTTGAAGTTTTGAGGGAAATGAAGAACAGCAACGTCAAACCTGATAGGCATTTTTACAATGTCATGATCGATACTTTTGGGAAGTTCAATTGCCTTGATCATGCCATGGAAACATATGACCGGATGCTTTCTGAGGGGATTGAACCAGACGTCGTTACTTGGAACACACTTATAGATTGTCATTGTAAGCACGGATACCATGAACGGGCTGCAGAGTTGTTCCAAGAAATGCAGGAGCGTGGTTACTTACCTTGTGCCACAACATATAATATTATGATCAATTCATTAGGAGAGCAGGGAAAATGGGATGAGGTAAAAAGCTTGTTAGGGAAGATGCAGAGTCAGGGCTTACTTCCCAATGTTATAACATACACTACCCTTGTCGATATATACGGACAGTCGGGGAGGTTTAATGACGCTATTGAGTGCTTGGAGGCCATGAAGTCTGCTGGGCTGAAACCATCCTCAACTATGTATAATGCTTTAATCAATGCCTTCGCTCAAAGAGTATGTCTTCCTTCCCACATTTCATCTCACAAATTGTTTCGTGTCAATATTATTCTTTGAAAAATTGGTGATGATGTTTACTGTTGAAACTCCAATAAAAAGATATTAACTGTTGTAACATATTGCCATCTTTGTACAATGGATAAGTTATTTGTTCATACTTTTTTTTTTCCATGACTGACTTTGTTTTACAAATGGATGGAAAAATTTAGAAAGAAATTTTATTATTATACACAGTATCATTGCTTGACAACATGATACTCAATGCTAAGTTGAAACAAGTGCTGATGCAAAAATGTTCTGGAATATTATACTATGCCTGTGAGACTTGGTTGTTTTGTTTTGGAGTTGTGCCTCGTATCTTGATAAAAAGATTACCTAGCTACATTAAATTTGTAATCAGAAATTTTTTAGTAAATGGCATAATGAATAAAAATATGTTCCCTTATAAATAGCAATACTCTTTATGTTTTGCAAAAATAACATTGATGTGTTTTCTTAATTAACTCGGCATATGTGCTACTTATTTGTTACTTTTGAAATTTTTTAAAAGGTTGGCTATTCTTTTGAAATTTTTTGTAGTTGGCCCTAGTTAACAGGTTGGAGTAGAAACAAGTTCACCTTTCGATTTGGAGCCATGGTTCGGAGAATATTTACATATAAATCGGTGCATCTGACATGGAACCATGACCAAGATCCATCCCCTAATCGTAGTTGTAATTACAAATTTATGCATCCAACTATAAATTTTAATTTAGTGTTCTTCCATTTTACTATTTGGCAGGGTTTGTCGGAGCAGGCAGTAAATGCATATAGAGTTATGAGATCAGATGGACTAAAGCCCAGTCTCTTGGCTCTTAATTCGTTGATCAACGCATTTGGCGAGGATAGGAGGGATATTGAAGCCTTTTCAGTCTTGCAGTACATGAAGGAAAATGTAAGTGCAGTGTATTTACAATACTAACCTTTGCATTTTTTCCATGCTTAATTTCAAGAATGAGAACAAAGCTTCTCCATTCATCATGCAAACTTATTTGGTCCTACAACTGCAGGATGTGAAGCCTGATGTTGTGACATATACAACACTTATGAAAGCTTTGATTCGTGTCGATAAATTTAACAAGGTAGAACAAATCATGGCTCTGGCTGTTTTTCGTTTTCTGCTTGTGTTCTTTTATACATACATTTTGCCGATCGAGTAAAAATGACCTTAGCATTTTTCATCATATTGGAACCTACTCAATGTCTTCTCCAATTTCTCCATGGTGTTCAAGGGAAATGTTTCGAGATTAAATGTTAAAACTAAAGCTGGACTATTTTTAAGATTGGATGAACTACTGTTGATGATTTAGCTTTTGCTAAAGTTATATCTCGGTTTCAGCATTTCTAATTTGTTACAATACCATACCATCAAATAGAAAATTGTGACAAATTGCTGTATTTATAGCTCCCTGTGCTTGTCTCATATCACAAGGCAACTTCAAAATTCAAATTTCATGTCTTCAAATTTCATGACTCGGAAGTACATTATTTGAGTTTCAGGTTCCAGCTGTATATGAAGAGATGATTTTGTCTGGATGTACTCCTGACGGAAAGGCCAGAGCAATGTTGCGGTCCGCCCTCAGATACATGAAGCGTACACTAAGTATATAGGCTCCTGCCCGCCCGATTGTGTAGCCATGCAACCAGCAGAATTAAATTAGCATAATTTGATCCAACAAATACTCATAGGTACGTTTTCTCAAAAAAGGTGGAAAAAAAAAAGGTTACTCGTAGGTATGCACGAAGGGGCTT